GGGAGTTATTATCATATCAAAACACCATTATCGCTCTGTAGAAAAAGCTTCTATTTTTCGTACTAAGAAGATGTATTCTCTTCATCGTGTAGTCAGATTGATCACTAGAACAAAGACCCGTTATCCAACTTTTCGATTACATGTCGACAAAATCTCGAAATGATGACGATAAATGGAACGACGCTTGGGAATCGACGGTGGCGATCGAAGAAATCGATGTGGAGGTAAAGGCGTTCGTTGAGGATATGAACGAGCATTGGAACGAGAGGAGAGGGAAGAGTGGGAAAGAGGAGAAGAAAGAGAAGAAAGAAGATCAGATTAAAGAAGATGAATCGTCGCCTTATAGTTTGAGACGATGAAGAAGGATTATAGATTGAAGAAGCAAAGGGTTCATGCTTCTTTGTGGATCTCGAAAAATCTGTTTTTGATTTTAGGTTCTAGATTAGAGTCTTCTTTATATTTTGAAAATGAAGGTTTTTGTTTAAAAATGCAGGCTCTGAAAAATGCAGGGTCTTTTAAAACCAATGCAAGTTTTTGTTTTCAAAAATACACGAGAGTTAGTACTGGAAACGAAAAGTACATCATCTCCTAAGAGTTACTTCAAACCAAAAGTACTGGAAACGAAAAGTACATCATCTCCTAAGAGTTACTTCAAACCAAAGTTACTTCAAACGAGACTACATGATAAGAGAATACATAATATAAAAAGCTGAAACCACTTTATCCATTTGGCTCTCTTAGATCCCCTCCTAGCTCCTACAAAACAGAAACTGAAACCACATCAATGACATCAGAAACTGAAACCACATCAAACTAAAAATTTAAACTAAAACCACATCAGAATTTTAAACCACATCAAACTGAAAATTTAAAAATAGACACTTACTTTAACTTTTATCAATGACTTGGCTTTGCATTTGTTGACTTGATCCTTCTCCAAAATCAGATTGATTCATCTTCTTTGGTGGTCTGTAAGCATAGCCATTCTTTGTGCACTTTCTTAT